TCCCAATATATTAGCAAGTCAACCTAGTTATAACTGGATTGAAATGAATAACGAATAACGATGATAATTATGTTGAATCAAAATGCATATGTCGACGGCGGGTGTTTCTATTCTAACTATATAAGTTGAATCCAAAAGCAATGCCGCTATTTAAAAAGTTTCAAATGATTAATTGTCATAAATGGCGTGCAGATTCAAAAAAGAATTTCTTTCATCACCAGTTTTTTCTTTTGAATTTCATTTTCAAAACTAGATGAAACCAGTTGACTTTTCAAATCTATTCCGGACAAAACTAATTCAAATCCCGACTATCCTTGAGGAAATTTTCACCACCTGAACTCACAGAAGGCATGAATTTGTTGAAAATTTGTCGGTCCAATTATTTTGAAAAAAAAACAAAATTATGAATGTGACTATATATATATTTAAAGTGTGTATCTCCAATGACCAAGGATAATGAATGATGATTGAAACAATTTTCATACAGAGGGTTAATTATCGTTTACCTTTTGTATTTCGACGCGTGCATAGAATTTTCGTTCGATTATTGTAATTAAGAAGAATGTGAGTCGATTATAATTTGTCGTCAATGAAGAATTGTATTTCTTTTTAAAAAATATCATAAACTTCCAAATGAAAGTCAGTGAATTTATTTTTTTGGCGCCAAAAATCAACATGTTTTCAATAAGTATTGTGTTTGACTTTTTTCTTTCTTGCATGTGTGATATCTCTCTCTATCTTTGTGTGAACTTTGAGCTTTTTTTATTGAAAGCTTGTGTGGAATGTTGTTTATGTGAAATGGTCTTGGGTCGAGACTGGTCATTCGACCTTTTTCTCACTAAGGACACACACACACACACATTCAGTATGGAGACATGTATTTATTGATCACAGGCGGTTCAACCACATTCCATTTCACTAACTATGCTACTCTTATAAGTGAAGTGAGATTTTTTCTGTGTCGAAAAAAATTAGGATATTCAACTTGCTTGTCTTGAATAAGTTTGTTTTGTTTTTTTTTCAATATATTCCATGCATCTTTATTCCTCATTAAATTTAATGAAAGAAAAGATTGGTTATTCGAGACTTTTTGTGTGCGGTATTTACCGCATCAATTTCGTGCTATGTCAAAGAAAATTGTTTTGTGATAAATGAATTTTTATTCGTCAAAAAATTTTTTAAGAAACTAAAAAATTCAAAAACTTATCAATGACCTCTTGAACCCCAGAGGGAAAGACAGAGGGAGAGATATAGACAGTCGACATGGTCCATGTGTGTGATTCGACTGATCGGTATGGATATGAGTCTTGCTACAAGTGTCAATAAATACATTTTATAAATTGAAATCTATAATTTCAAGCTCTATATGCGAAATTCATTCATTTGCCAACTAATTGCTGCTGAAGAAAATGAAATATTTTTCTATTGATATTCCCATCAAAATTAGAGTTTGTTGCTAATGTTATTCCCGATATAGATAAGAGAGAAAATTCTTTTAAAAATTTTAACATGTGATAAAGAAGAAATCGAATGGATAAGCAATACCAGTAATGAATTTGCATTTATTTTGTTTATATTTTACACACACACACATAAACACCAGTCATTCCAATATATACCCATCAGTTCAATAATGGTCATGAGAATGTTTAATCAGGCTTCAATGTAATTTCAATTCAATATGATTTCCTTAGCCAACCCATTATTGTTGCTAATAACCATGTTATTCATAGATGTTTATATGTTTGTCAATGAGGGAGCAATCTATGCTTCTTGAATTTTGGGAAAAATATTTTTTTTCTTCTTTGTTATACTATAGGTGCGAAATGCAACACCTTTCTCACGCTCACTTATGGTTTCAACAACCATGAAAAATTACTGTTGTTGAATATATAAAAATTAAAACTGGACATTGATAAAATGATGATTTTTTCTGGAAAATTATTTCTATCATCGACATTCCAAATGTTTGACGGGTCAAATCTGAATTCCTATGATGTTTTTTGATGTAGCAATGATTGGATATTCTCGTTACATCCTCATTCGGAAAAAAGTCGAATATAAAACAGATAAACGGGAAACATTTAGCATGGAGAAAAACTCAACAAGCTTGTTTTTTTTATTTTGCTATTTTAGTAGCTTTTTTTGATTCATTAATTATTTTTCGAACCATTTCAACAACTGTGCTCATCTTGTTGTTAGTTGTCACTGCTGTTTGTATTTGCATAAAACCCCGTGTGGCCAATCAATCAGCCGCAACCAGTATCGGTCATTGTTCATTCAAAAAACATTCATTCATTCATAAATATTTGTACTCATATATCGTTAGTATAATCTAAAACAACTGGAACATACTGGAATGAATCGGTTGCAAACATAACGAAACTGCCATATAATGACTTTCGTATGTTAAGCATTAAAGTTAAAACCTTAAACTTATGCACATTAGAAGAGTGGTATGTTTAAAAAGCCATCTTTTAGGATTTATGTTTCGTTATTTTTCTTGGCCAATCGATTGATTGATACATGAACACATGATTGAACGTAAGCATGGAATCTAGTTCATCTGGCTGTCATTTTCGTTGCAATTTTGTTTAGTTTAGTTAAGTTTGAGAATGAGAAAGAAAAAAACGCGCCAAAAAACAACAAACATTCTTTGCTTACATGATTGAATTTGGCGCGAAAAATACAAAATATTTGCTATTGTAATTCATTACATTGTGAGAATGGTCCCCTCTCTCTCGACAACAACACATGGTCACCATTAAACACTGAAAATCACTTGCTCTTTGCTGGAAAATAAATGTTTGGTACTAACAATCACTATGGCCCTTGTAGGCAAATAATGTTTTTACCGCCTTTTTCATCTGGTTTGATTCATTGAACTTTTCGCAATGTTCGTACATGTTTGAGAAAAGTTGTTATAACGATTATATACATTTGTATTCGAATGACGCTAGTATAAACATACATTTAATATTCATGATACAACACGAAATCATTCCCAGTTCAAAGGTTATTTAAATCATTTAGGAATCCGAATAGATTTCAAAAATTTCTAACTCATGCATATAACTAATTCATTTTACCACAATATTAAATTATCATCATGATGATAATTATTGAGAATGTAAAATCAATGAATCAATAAAAGGATTAAAGAACGAACACAACAATAATAACAACAGTTTGAAAATTTTTGATTACAATTCATCAGGTTCGACAGCCAGCCTTTGCACACCTTATAGCCACAAATATTGGCTTGATTGCTCATGCTTTTCAAGAATTTCCAGTAAATAATAGGGAATGAATTGTAATTAAAACAAATTATACAGCCAATGATGATCATAGATAATACCGACGTTGACAGAAGCCGTTATTTGAAACATATTTATCTTTGAAAGGATAAATTTGTATTAAAAATATTTGCAACCACGTTTATGGCATTAATACACATATTTTGAAAAAAAGGCCAATCTAAATTTCGAACTAAATTGGTCAATATTATTATTGATGTAACAAAAAATAGTGATTTAGCAATAATTAAAGTAATAATTGGAAGACATCAAACACTATGATCAGTAAAAGTTTGATTTATCACGGCAACTTAATATGAGAATAATTTTTTCAACCAATCAATGTATACATTATTGGTGACAATCAAAACTATTATAAACTAACGGGATTATTATCTAAATTGATAGGTCGTGATACGATTATTAAAAAAATGAGAAAGATCTATTCTCTTTGGATTTAAATCACCTCATTTTGGCATCTTCGATTTTTACTTACTTAGATTATGGCTTCTTTTATGTGATGTTCAATTATTTTTTCGTCCTTATTCAATGTGTTGGCAATGATATTGGTGGCTTTTGGCTTTTGTTGGTTGTCGATAGTATACTTTAGATTTAATGCATCATCATTATCATCAAGTCAATGGTCATCATCAGTGGCGGATCTACCATAGGGCCCAACGAAATTTTTCTCTCTATTTTCATTCAATAGGGAGCCCACCGCCGCAAGATGTTGTTAGCACCCTGGACCCATGGATTGATTGATCCGTCACTGATCATCACACATTCATGCCTAGACATCAAAAATATCGATTGAACAAAGTGTTTTTAATGAAATATCCGTGTCTAACGAATCAGTCATTCGTATCGTCGTGGTCAGAAAACCAGCCAATCTTATTCAATTATTTTTATAAACTCATGATCATCACCAGGTTAATTTTTGTTAATTAAGAGAAATTTTTTACTCATTTTTTCTGTTTTCAAAAAAAAACGAAATCAACATAATTATCGCCTCAAAAATTTATAAAGTCTCATAAAGATGATACATGTTGACACAAACGGTAGAGAATACATAAGGTCAATTAGGGAAAAACCAAAGTGATGGTTTTGAACGATATCAATGCTTATGATGGTAATAATGATTATGAAAAGAATTTGAAATCATGGTGCAAAAAAAATCAAATTGATTCGACAGCTAGACAAATGAGCGTAGATAATATGAGAATCACATTCATTCAATCATAATGTTGATTATTATGTGGACGATGGCAGGAAAGCCGAAAATCGAGTCTCATTTATATTGAGTATATCTCATCCATAAAGTGATTTAAAAGCCACCAATTGTGTGCCTTAACGACGACGATAGCCACCATCAGCAAACGAATGACAGAAAATGAGAGGGAGAGTACGACATGTTGATCCATCGATGCTGGAACTGTAATATGATGATGATCGTTTCGATTATTTTTCTATTCAGTTTGTTTTACTTGAGATAAAATCAAAAAAAAAGATTTTCAATTTTTTTTTCTTGAAAACTAATCTGTACGCATACTGCACAAAATTATTTATTGGTTCGTTTATCAAGTTAATTTTATTAGAAATGTGAATAGAAAACTTTTTGTCAGGAAAAAAATTTTAAATTTCCAACTAGAATCAAGATACTCAGATGATTAATGTGAATTACTTGGTTTATTAAATTACGTTTGATTTGTTTGACTATTAGAGATCATAATCAAAAAATGGATTGGTTCTTTCCTAATAATTGTCATTCCATTTTATGAATCTATTGCAAGAGATTATCATTATTGTAGCCGATCAACAATTATTCGATAGGATTTGATCGGCACATTCCAAACATACCGAATTCTCTCCATGATGAGGATTTACATGAGTGATGATGATGATTGAGCTCACCTGGATTAATTGTTGTTTATAAATACAAGTATAAGACACCTGGTAACTAGGCAAAACATCCTGGCCACAAAAATTTGATTGCACGAAACAAATGCAACGGCTGATGAAAGACAAGGGTTAACATATCCATTGGCTACAATGATGAAACAAATGATCAATCACAATTACTGGTTTCAAATTAAATTAATATTGTTACTTCATTTGGAATGATGAACACAATTGATGAATCCCAGGATCTAGTTTATGGCAGTTTAATGAAAAGCGATGTAACAACAATATGATGAGACGATCACAGCGCGAAATGGGGCAATCATTATAGATGATATGGTCAGCTTATTTGTCTGAAATTTTAATTATAATCCCTATATGAGCTTTTGCTATTCAACTATTAAACTGTACACTCGTATATAGATCACTGCAAATAATTTTTGAGAGAAATTTTCTTTCTTTTGGGGATGTGTAGCTGTCTGATTAAAATTTTTGGCACCTTTTTCTCACTTGTTGTGGCCATTGATGACCATGGAACAATAATGAATGATTCAGATGAATTAGTGGGAAAAATTCATTCTAATTTTGCCGCCTTGTTTTTGTCTAGCTTTTGATTGAAAAAGGCAAAAAGAAAGAAAATTCAATGAAAATTTTTCTGAGGGAATAAGAACGTATTTGAAATATTTTTCTAAATGAAAAAAGACCTGGATTTGGCCTCAATAGTTTTCCAATGTCCCGATGTCGGGTGGTTGTAACCATTGTGATCCCGTGTGTCCGTGAGTATTTCAATATGGCTATTCAATTGAATGAACAACAACTTTCGTGACCATGCACCATACCAGTGTTTTTTTGTGAATGAAATGAAAACTATTATTCAACCAACGAATGTATGAATAGCAGCCGGATGGTGAATGCAAAATGAATGAAAAAAAAAGATCGGATGCTCGACATACGTGTAAAGTGATTATAATGCATCAAATACTTACAACGGTCGTTTAGGTCATCAGTATTGTTGATCCTCTCCCTCAGTTACATTCCGGACATTCCAATCCATTCAAATAGGTAAATCAAAGCGTAAAGTTGCAAACCAAAAATTTTCAATGTACTAATAAATAGAATGTACAAATAAAAATCGTGTTAATGCTCTGTGTTTGTGCAAAGAATGATTAACTAAACCATAGTCGATAATCGAAATTAAGTCTGGAATTTCGGTATGAGATGTTTGACCATCACGTACAATTCATTTGTCTATTTCGGCTTCTCTTATTGTATTGCTTCGAATTCCAATTCGATTCAAATATTTGAATCAAATATAATTTTTACGAAAGATAATAAATAAAATTATTTAATTTACGACGAGGACAGAATAAAGAATAATAAGATCAGAATCACTAACTAACTAGAATATCTTATCCGTCTACCACTGTTTATTAATCTTCATGACGAATATATGATTTATTCATACACAGGTGACAAAAAAGGTCTATGTGAATTAGAAAAGTTTTACAAGATTTAAAAGTACAAAATGATTAATCAGAATATTGTTGGCAAGCCATGACATCTATCTATCATGAAAGTATCTATACATTGCTATGTTTATTGACAATTAAGAAAAAACAGACTACCATTTCACGGAAATAGCAGCTTTATCTATTTATGTGCTATTGATGTGATGTATTTGTTTGTACTCGAATGTCATCCAGCAGCCGGTATCTTATCAATGTGATCCTTGCATGCCAATGCATTCGCATGTTTGTCTGGGTTTTTTTTCGGTAACATCGACACCATCAATAATTGAATAAATTCAGCCACATGAATGCACTTGCCAAGGCCTTGTGGATAGATATGAAGTTGCACCGATCATCAGAATTAAAATGCGGAATAAATATTGTGGAAAAATATTGAAAATTCATTTCATTCAGATAGTAGGCAATTTTCTACAACAGGTAGCAGAACTAAAACAATACTAGGTCGCGTGCTGTGTTTGTGTTTTTGTTTTTGTGTGTGTGTGTGTGTGTGTGTGTGTTTCGAATCAATTTATCCATATTGATTGGTTAGAAAAGTTAAAACAAAATGGCATTTAGCGACACTCAAATATATTCAGTTTAACACACAAACACAGGGAAACATAAATAGGCAGGTAGTTGTGATTATTGTGAAAGAGATGATAGATTATGAACATTGTATATACGCAAACCTGACCGATAGACAAAGTGAATTTTTTGCAATGACATCGACATTATCAAGTGCATATACACTTCCACTTTGTTACGGTTGGGGGAGTCGAATGACTTGAATTTTTCTAATGTGTATAGAAAGGAAAAAATATTTTGATGTTCTGTGCACTCCAATTCATTATGTATGATGAGGACCATATGCAAAGAAAAAAAGGCCAGCAAGTGCAAGTCAGTATATATTTGAAATATAATGGATACGTGCATAGTACACAATTAGCAAGTGACAAATTCGTATGACGATATGTCACTAAGTTATTCTTGATATTTGCCTTCCCCGATTCACACCCCCTAGCAACAAATCTATGAGGGCAATGATCATCATCATCATCATCAGGTCGTTGGAATGAGTCGACTGTAAATATGTAGCATACAAATGGACTACGTGATATGTCGCTTAACCTTTAACCTCAAAACAGTATCTTTCTCTTTATTTTTCTGGTTGGTTTTTTTTTTGGTTCTGTTTTAGTTTCGGATGTGATGTATCCATCTAAATCGATTGTCCCAAATGTTGCTGCTATCGATCTGATGGTGGTCTGTGATTCATCATCATAGTTTGTAATAGTTTCTATTTGCATGAATAAAAATAACAGTTAGCTTACATACATCATGATAGCTTGAAATATGGATCGATTCGGCCTGTCCATCACACCATAAACAAACAGACCAATGTTTTATCCCATAATGACATAATGTTCAAATTGAGCGTATGGATAACAACAAGCAATTTCTTGGATTCAAAACCAACAAACAAGACAATGAGAAGCGTGAGAATGTGATCAATGATTAAAATGTCTGTACACTTTAGGCTCGTTATCTAGTGTCAAATTGGCCGAGACAAGTTAATCAACAAGTCATTGACCATATATACACTATACTATTGTGATTATAGTAGGACCGCACACAAACTCACGTGTGAATTTTATCCAACATCATGACAAAAGACAGCCTTTCATGATTTGTATTTGCTGCCAAAATTCATACAATCGGTACATTGTATTACGGGATCTATCAATCATTGAATTTCAATGAATATTCAAATCAATTAATTCAACTCGACAAACAAACAAACAGGTAGGTCTTGCCAATTATTGCTGCACGAATTTTTCATGCGAACATTTGTCCTATGATTTGAATATGATATGAACATAAAAAACTCTGAAATGCCTTGACCAACCAAGGAGGTCAACCATCAAATGGATGATGATGATGAAAATAGCCATAGGAAATGAATTGGAACTCACACGTTGAATTTCAATCATCGATCATTGGATGCAAACAATAAACCGTCCTCATCATAATCATTCCCAATAATAATATTGATTAAATAATCTGAAATGGATTGTTGTTTGTGCTGTATTGTTGTCGATGTTACAATTTTCTCCATTTCCAAATTAATCGATCGATTCTTGTGATGGGAAAATTCACAAGAAAATTATCAGTATTGTGTAAAGAGCAGTATTTAACTCAACGTGAAGCCAAGAAAATCGATAGTTATTATCAATTCAATGAATAATTATAAAGATTAAAATGGAACGAAAAGTTATAAATGATATCGACATCATTTTCAAGGTTATCAATGGTATGCTTTTATACCTTAAATAATGTTGTTTGTTCATCTTAGCTTTCTGATTATAATAATTAACATTCCACAACTATCATGGCGAACAATAAAAAAAAGTGACAATAAATGATTTTGTTGTTGTTCCATTTTTAACCATTGAATTGGATTTTGATTATATCGATAAAAAAGAATCATGTTTTATGTCATGATCATCATCATCATCATCATCAAATCAATAGAAAATAACAAATAATAATAATAATAATAATGCTTTATTTTTCAAAATTTCTACAACTGTTGAATCAAATTAATGGGTCGTTCAATGATAATTAAAAAAACCGACAATCAAGGGCAAACAAATGATGATGCAATTCAACGATTCTTATTCACCAAACATATATATCATACATGCATTGGCTGTGTTTTTCCCATCAAACCCCTGGAGCGATCATCATCATCATCATTGAAGATATTCTTTCTTTATGATAATAACTGATTTTGTCAAAAGGTATCTCACCATCATACAAATTTAGCGGCTATATATGAACAAATTTTTTCTTCTTCTTGTCAGCGTCGTTGACATGAGCCATCATCGAGACTTGTGGTAAACCAATGGATGCTGATGTTTTGTTGGCAGCTAATTAATTAAAATAACACAAATCTTGCTAAAATCAAGTTAAGCTACACTCACTCATTCATTCATTCATTCATTCATCTGGACTATAGATCCGTAACATGCCCAAATATAAAAATAACTTAATGGACAATGTATCTACATTTTTAATAAAGACACACCTCAAACCGAAATTGTGGAAAAAATGTTTTAAAAAAATACAAAGACACACTGACGTTATGCTCAAAATATTAAATTTTGTCCTGTTTTGTTTCATCATATATTATATCTATCTTGCATGTTCCAGTTATAACCTATGACCATAGGATAGTTGAATTGCAATTTTATTTTTTTCTGATGATTGGATTTAAATCGTGAATGTATGTGTTTGGAAAACCCCTCACCGAGAATGCGTTCATCACCATCAACCAAACATGTTATTATATGGACAAGGATTGACAGATTAATCGTTGGCGTTTGAACATTTCCATTGGTTTGATTCATACTCGATGATTATGAAAGCTATAACCAGCTATACATTGTGTTTGTCTGTCTCTGATTCATTTCATTTCGATCATCATGAGCATCGGTTGTTTAGTTGGTTGGTCTCAATTTATAATTCGCGAATGGTCATTCATATTAGCTTCTTTAAGTTGGTCGGATTGTGTATTTATTTTTATGTATGTGTGTGTGTGTGTGTGTGTGTGTTTGTCTGTGTGGGCGGATGTATGAATAGATTGTATTCGGGTTGATGATGATGAAAAGCGATTTGGATAAATGAATCAATGTGTCTGAATGTATTTGATTTGACTGATGGGATTGATGAATGGTTTTTTTCGCATTTTATTTCATTCATTTATTCATTCTGTTTTCTCCCCTATAGGCATGCAACAAGTGTATTGTCGGTTATATGAAAAGATCAAGATAGAATCATCATCATGATGAGATGAACTCACCAATTGCATCAAAAATTGACCGATCATGATGGACATAAAATAAAAGAGGGTATCTTCTTTATTCACAGCATGCGATTCTCTTCTTTTTCCATCTATTTTTATTCAATATGATCAACGGTTATGATCATTGCTTACCTGTTATAAAATCATCATTTTCTCAAAGTCTCACGATTGAAAAACTAACCAGCCAGTTTCAACAATTTCTGACATGCCACGCATACAAAAACACACATTTTTTGCGATGCAATGGTTTTGTATGAAAATTCCATTTTTGTTGCATACTTTTTAATGGTCAAAGTTGCTGCTGCTGTTAATATAATATTAGCGATGCAACATATTCATAAGCAATAATGATTGAGCTTTCTTATCATTCATATAGCCCATGGATACGGATACTTGGTTTCCTTTTATTTTATTTCATTCATCATTTCATTTGATGATGATATCCATCACCATTGATGATGACGACAACGAATAAAATCTTCTCATGTGACTTCTTATTCGTCTGCATGTATGTGTGCGTATCACAAACATTTTTCTTTCTTTTTTGGTTATAAAGCTATGAATGTCTGTGTTATTTGCACAAGCCAGCTCGCCTATGAATGACCTCGAACTTTGTCGATGTCCTTTTTGAAGGCCATACCTCAGCGATGGTGAGTTTTTCATCGTCGTCGTCGTCGTCGTTTTTCGTCGTAGTCGATCGAAACATCATTCTGGCTATGGTTGCTTGAATGTACAATGTTGTACATACAATTGATGGACAGGATTCTAACTACTACCATACAGCAGCATGCTGGATACAATTTACGCGTTCAATGTTTTCAATGCATATTGAATCATTGATGTTATGTTGGCAGTTTT